CTTTCTTTCTTTCTTTCTTTCTTTCTTTCTTTCTTTCTTTCTTTCTTTCTTTCTTTCTCTCTTTCTCTCTTCCTCTCTTTCTCCCTTCCTCCCTTTCTCCCTTTCTCCCTTTTTCCCTTTCTCTCTCTTTTCTGAAATAAGGCTTCTCTGTATAGTCCTGGCTGTCCTGGAAGTCACTCTGTAGGCCTGTCATCACCCTGACCACCCACCTCCCCTCCCCGAGCAGCACTAGACACTGTTCCCTTCATTAATTCCTTCCCAACTCCTTCATTCCTGGTCCCATCTCATTTCTGTGCCTTCTGCTTGCAATGCATGTGTTGGTTTAGGGGTTACAAATACATTACAGGAAGCAGGGAAATGTGCAGTTATGGAATCCATGTGGTCGGGGGAGGAGAAGAGTTATTAAGGAAGAAGAGGTAGAGGCAGACCCTGAGTGTCTTCAAAAGTCAAGCTTTATCCTTGGGTGTTGGGCAGTGGTGGTTGGGGGTGAGGTTGAAGCCAAGGTCATGTATGTCCTGGTGGATGGGGGCAGGGGGACACCTAGGATGCCTCCAGAATACTGTTGTGAACAGCAGTGTGCAAAGTTTAAGGGACAGACCCTGCAACCACCCATTCAACACTTACTAAATGCCAGCTGCAGAGTGGGGAAGTGGGCAGTGTTTGGGGTAAAAATAATAATAATAATAATAATAATAATAAAAGTTAGTAAGTGAGTTAAGTCAATGGGGACACCAAGGAAAGCTGTCTCCAGGAGAGATGGCTAAGCAGAGGATCATGGGAGGGGAAGGTGGTGGGAGGAAGTAATACAGGCAGAGGGAAACTCTAATGGTGAGATGAGAGAGAGGAAGCATTTAGAAACAGAAAGAAATAAAGTTGGAGAGGAGAGAGGACCAGAAATAAGGTGTGGGAAGGGCAATTCCCATGGCCTCTGTGTCTGGGGTGCGAAGGGGGCCACAGCACCAGGGCCATGGGGAGCCATGGATGACTCTGAAGACAGGCAGGTTATGACCGTCTCATTACTAGGTCCTCTCTCCTCTCCAACTTTATTTCCCCAGCCCTTGCTGTGTATGTGATGGAACTGAGGCTCTGAAAGAAAAAAAAAATCCCCTAGTGCAGCAGCTGTTCCAGCCAGCATGGACAGAGGAGGGGAGTCGGTTTCCCTTTCACAAGCACCCATGGGAGGGCATTCTTATTCCTCTTCTTGGTCCCATACGCCAGCAGCTGCCCCATGATATTCATGCAGACAGAGTCCACTCAGCCTGTAAACGGGGGTGGGGTGGTTTGGGTGGGGGAGGGGGAGACGGGCACAAAGCACTTCATGTGACTAACAAGAGTAATAATTAGTTGTCCCTTAGTGTTGGGTTGGTTCCAGAATCCCGCTGAATGTTGAAATGCATGGCAAATCCTTTAAACCAAGGGGTGGACTATTTACACAGAACCTGCAAGAATATGCCTACATACTTTGAACCACCTCTAAAAATACTCAAGTCGAATCTGAAGCAAATGTCAGGTGCCTGATATATTGTTTAGGGAACAGTGAATAGGAAAAAAAGTCAGTAGATAACTTTCCCATCTATACTCCGACTGGGATGGAGATTTAGAAAGCCAGTCTGGGGCGTTCTGTTCCTCGAAGCAGCTGTCTCCCACACGTCAGAGGAGCCTTTCATATCTCTGGATCACACAGGGTAAATAATGAGAAGTGTGGTGTGCAGCCAGGCTGCCCGAGCTCACATCCGAGTCCTGTCTTTTGCTTATAACCTGGAGAACCAGCCTCGGTTTTCTTCTCTGATAAACGGGTCAGCTTTAGATAGTGTGGAGTGAGGATCATCTGGGCTACACTGTTGCGCAGAGTGACAGTGTCCTCCATAGAGAGCCCTCACTGCTGCCATAAGGTGTAGAGGTGATGTCGGGGTCGAGAAGCGTCTGGGAGGATCTGGATCACTATACCGAAGGGTTCCCTTTCTTACCAAAGGACTAGAAAGCAGTGGCCTGCGGTGCCATCAACCAATCAGGAGGATGCAGGCGGCTCCTGCCCTCAGGGAGAGTCTGGCCTCTATTCTCTTCACATTGTCCTAACTCAGGGCCTTTGCATGTACTGCTCTCCCCACCAGATGGCAAGATGGTCCCACTCTCTTACCCTTTCTCTTATTTAGTGTCTCCCACTAGAACGTCAGCAGCGTACAGAAGAGCTTTGCTCACCGTGGTAGCCCTGGGGCCCAGCACAGTACCTGGCACACAGTGTGAATACTTGAGTGAATGTGGAATTGGAGGCAGGTGTGGTCATTTCACCATTGGCTCAGCTCAGTGCTGAGATCTCTGCCTCCCCATGGACCACGGAGCCCCAAGAGTCTACTTGGGCTCTTTCAGGTCGTCAGCTCTGATGACACCCATTCCTCTGTTCACCCATAGGGTTACTTACTGTTTTATTGGCTTGGTAACCTTAAAAAAAAAAAAAAGAGTTCCGCCACCCCCTGAACCCCTCTGGGTGTTTTTCTCCAGAAACCTCCACCCTAGGAATTGCTTCCTCCCTACTGTCACAACTGGGAATGATCTGGTCTTGCTGTGTGTGCTTGGGCCAGCTGCCTGACCTCTCTGAGCCTGGGTGTTCTCGCTGAGGATAAAGCCATCTCAGACAGTAAAAGATGACGTGAAGGCAACACCATCAATCGGACCACACTAACCAGTAATCTGTGCAGAGAAGGAAGGAGAACTGGGGAAGAGGAAGGGGCTTCGGAGAGGTGAAGGGTCCAGAGAAAGGGCGGTGTCAGGAGTCCAGGCCTCTGGAGAAATGGGGGGGGGGGAGACTGGTGTCAAAGAAAGGCGTGGTCTTGGAATTCAGCTCTGAAGACTGGTGGAGAAGGGCACTGCCCAGGGCCCCTGCATGTTGTCCCTGCTCTGTTTCCTGCAGGCTCCCGGGAGCCCAAGCTCTGCGGAATGACCAGAGGCACCGGGCCAGGCAACTTCTGTGTGTCTTTAATCTCCTCCAGGCCGGTCCGCCCCACCCTACCCTCCCTCCTGCTCCGCGCCTGTCGGGGTGGAGGCCCAGGACCCGAGTCCAGGGACTAAGGCACCAGATGGCTTGCAGCAGGCCAGCCGAACACAGACTCACAGAGCGGACACTGATGACGGACGCAGACAAGCGTGGTGGGTACGGGGAAGGGGCAAGGCTTCCACGGGCTCTGGGTGCGTCCCAGCCGCGGGAAGCTCCGGCCGCCCCCGAAGGCTGCGGCGTCAGCGGAGCAGTGGACGCAGCGCTCACTTGTCGCCCTTGCGCGACAGGCACCGCGGGAGGCAGAAGAAAGTCTGCTTGACGCGCGTCAGCAGGGGCAGCGGCCGGTGTGAGTCCCGCGGCGATCGCGGCACCAGGCGCTGCAGGGTCCCCTCGGAAGCGGCCGAGGACGCTGTGGTGGCCGACGCTGCCGACGTCGCCGAGCCCTGGCGACAGCGCCTGCAGAGAGGCAGCAGCGCGCGCAAGTCCTCCTCGTCGCGGAACGGGATCTCCCCGAAGCGCTCCTCCAGCTGCCGACGAAGCTGGGGCGGGGAGGGGAAGCGGGGCGAGCGTCTAGCTGTTACCCATTTGCCACCTCTACCCCTCGCCCTCTCCCCACACCTGGCTCCTCTAAGCGTACTCTATCTCCCGTCTAAGACTTTCCAACCCTCATGGGGGCGCCCGGCTTCACCCCAGGCCCTAACCTCTGGGGAACCCGACTACCCATGACACTCCCATCTTCCAGACTGGCCCGCTGCAAACCGCATTAAGCCGCCTTCTTGAGTCTCCCCATCTCTAGACTCAGAGACACCATAAATCCAGTCTCCCTTCCTTGTCGGCTTCCGACCTACAGCAGCCCTGGAATCCCCTGTGCCACCTTCTGAGAACCCTCCCGTCACTGTTCATGTCTCTCCCTCTCACTGCCAGTTTTGGCTGAGTGGCTTCAACCTGATATTTTCATGTGTCAGCTCCCCAGAAACACTAAGCGAAGGGACTCCTTTGGTCTTAGAAAGACCCTGGTTGGAATAGGACACAGACACCCTCACCCCAAGTGGACTAACCCAGGACTGCCTGTGTTGGCCACAGTCTTGTCTAAAAGCATCCAGATTCTCAGTTAAAAAGACAAAACAAACCCTGAAAACCCAGCCCAGGTGTGACCTATGGTGCAATCCCAGCGCTTGGGAGTCTGAGGCAGGAGGATTGTGAGTTTGTTACCAAAGTGAGAGTGTAGAGAGGGGAGAGGCCCAGGCTACATCCCATCCAACAGGTGCTAAAAATCAAGGAGAGATTCAGGCTTTCCCGGCCTCCCACAGCTCCGGCCCTGCACAGCCCCTACCTTCTGGGAGTTTGCCCAGCCAAACTCCTCAAGCTGCTGCCTAAAGCCTGGGTTTGGGTTGGCGATGGGCCGGGAGGCTTTGATGGCGTCAAGCACTTCCTGCCAGCCAAGTCCAGTCACTGTCATCACGTAGGCGATCACTATGGTGGTACTTCGAGAGATACCTGCAAAGCTAGATCAGGGACAACCCCAGGCTTCAGGAAAGTCCCAGTGTCCACCATCTTCCCTCCCTGCCAGGTCCCTGGCCTTACAAGGAGCTTCTTCATGTTGTCCCCTGAGCTCCGACCACAGGGAGCCTGCCTTCCTAGCTCCAAGATTTGGCTTGTGACATTTCCTTTTCCTCTGACCAATACCACACCAAGGGACTGGCTGAAATAGTCATTTGTTCGTTTAACAAACATCCCCTGACTGTCGTCAGGTCCTGGGGTAGAGTAAGGAATAAAACCCATGCTCTCTGCTGCCTTGGAGCTTACAGTGGAGTTTGGAGAAAAGCCACTAACCAAAGTAGCTGTTTCAGGTACCGATGAGCGCTTGAAGACAAGATGAGTCTGGGGCCACATAAGCAGAGAGATTTCCTTAGTGAGAGTGGGGGAGGTGTAAGGAGAGGATCCCTAGAAAGTGACGCCTAGCTGAGTTTTGAAAGATAGGTTTGGGCTGGAGAGATGGCTCAGCGGTTAAGAGCACCGACTGCTCTTCCAGAAGTCCTGAGTTCAATTCCCAGCAACCACATGGTGGCTCACAACCATCTGTAATGGGATCTGATGCCCTCTTCTGGTGTGTCTGAAGAGAGCAATGGTGTACTCATACACATAAAATTACAACAACAGTTCAAAAAAAGAAAGAAAGAAAGAAAGAGAGAAAGAAAGAAGGAAGAAAGATAGGTTTAACTCAGAATGTTGTGGGGCAGGGGCTGTAGGTAAATTGTGGAGTGCTTGCTTGCTGTGTATGAATCTGAGTTCAATTACCCACACCACAGGAAGAACAAGGCAAAATAGTCTTAAGTAGCACGTACAATGATCTCACAGTGAAAGATATGCTGTGGGTTTGAGGAAGGGGAGGTTAGGATGGCTAAATATGGGGAGAGCTGGGTCTTAAGAGTGCTATTAATCCCTTGGCCCCAGCCAGAACCCTTGGTGAGTTGCCATTGGATGGATGGCATCTTTGGGTCAGGGATACTGGAGAAGACACAGTCCTAGCCCTGCATTCATGCCTCAAAGGCCTTCAGGGGAGGAAAGCAGAAGCTAGATTGATGGGTCTACCTATGTGACCTCATCTAGTTCCTTCAACATGATGCTTATTCCCCCCACTTTACAGATAAGGAAACTGAGTCTCAGGAAGACACAATTGCTGGGCTATGGTCATTGGGCTGCTAGGTGTGATGAGCCTCTGAGTGATCTGTCCAGATGAGTGATGGACTGTCAGCACCGTGACAGTGACAGGCTGGAGGGGACCCGCCCCACAGGACAGGCATGCATGGGAGGACTCACCAGTGCACAAGGCAGTTACCCCCGTTGAGGCGGCAAGAGTGAATAAAGTGGACGCATTCTTTGAAGTGCTTTTTGCTAGAGAAGAAAGTAACAGGGAAGGCAGTGCTGGGGGCCAGGTCTCTCAGGAGGTGTGTCCTCCCCACTTACAGACAGCAAGGGATACACAACCCTTGGTCCTCAGTGCAGCCAGCATGTTTCACTGCTTGGAAAGGGGGCAGGCAGCATAGCAGGCAGGGAGAGAGACTGGCCCCACCATCTAGGCAGATGCCTCTCCGGTGGGTACAAGGAACAAGGACTTGGGTGTGGGGAGAGTGAGGGTGCCATTCTTCTGGGGTCTGCAACCAGAGGAACTGGGACAGTAATTAGCAAGGGTCTGGGAGAAGAGCCCCAACAGGCAAGGCTTCAGCCTGAGACCATCCAGAGCTCCAGGTACCTGGTGCTACTGAACCAAACAAAACCTGTTTTCCAAAGTCCCTGCAATCACCGGGTTCTGTCCACATCCTCAACCCGGGTCACCTCATCTTTGCAAACAGCCTTGACTCATCACATCCTGTCTTGTTGTAGCCAAATCTCAGAGAGGACAATGGTTTGGCCAAGGTCACAGAGCAGTCAATGGCAAAGCCTGGCTGCAAACCAGGTGTCTTAACTGCAAGCCAGGATGCAGGTCGAGTCTGACCCTCAAATCTGCTGTACACCCGGTCCCAAGAGACAGGACACTTTTTCCATGTCATAGAGAAGGAGGCTGAGGCTCTGGAGATTAGGGACATGCTACAAGGACATGGTTGAAACAGATGCAGGTTGCTCCCTGACAGCTTTCTGGAGTCAGTACTCTCTGCCCTCACTCCCACCTCAGGGGGCAGCTCTGTCAGCGGTTGGCCCATCCAGGGGAACTTACATGGGTACCTCAGGAGTATCAGACACTGAGATTCGAAGGTAGGTGATATCCTGCAAGGACGAAATGCACACTCAGATGGTGGAGCCTTGCCTGCACCCCTCCCCCAGCCCGAGCTGCCAAGGCAAGTGTGACCCCAGCCCAGTCCTGCCCCTCCCTAGATCACCAGTGTTTTCCAGTCCCCAGAGAGCAGGTACTGGTTGTATGGGCCTGCCAGCTCTGTCTGTACAGATGGTATCCTCACCCACAGGTGACATGGACAGGAGGACTTGCAAACTGGGAAGGTGTTTCTTCCCTCTCCTCCAACAGGGATTGCAAAGTTATACAGTGAAAAGGGCAGAGCTCATTTGTCTTGAAGAGTACAAATTATGAAAAGAAAAATGTGAGTCAGGCAGAGCCACATCACATTTGTGATCCTAGCATTCAGGAGGCTGAGGCAGGGGGATTATGAGTTAGAGGCCAACCTGGGCTACCATAGTAAATCTCTGTCTCAAAAGACAGACAGATAAACACCACACACACCACCACCGCCACCAGGAGCATCAGCAACAACAACAGCAGCAGCAGCAGCAGCAGCAGCACCAACAGCAGCAGCACCACCACCACCACCACCAGCAGCATCAGCACCAACAGCTTCACGAACTGGTCTGGCAGCTCTGTTTTGTGCCGAGGCTCCACACAAGGGTACTGCAGATATTTTTGCCCACGTCCCAAACCCCTCACTGCCCTTTCTCAAGTATTCCCCTTAATACTTTGTTACTTCACATAACCCTTTTCGGGGCTTGTGGCTGTGGCTCTTAAAGGACACAGGACCTGTCCTCTTGTGTCCATGGAGGTTTGTTCCGTCTCTGTCTAACACTTCCAAGGTCATGGAATCCCATGTTGTTTGCAAGATCTGCAGTTTCATTTTGCAGTGTGTTCGATGTGGGCTTGCCTGGTAGCGTCAAAACCCTGCCTGCTGAACTCCCCGATGGGAAGGATGGCTGCCGGGGAGGTGTTGGGGGAGGGCTCTTTCTCTAAGCACTCATTGCTTTAATAAACACATTAATAACTTGGAAAGCATGCCCATGCAATCTGTTCAGACTACATACTCCAGTGCTTCAGAACGAGGCTGCCCTAGAATGCAAAATCAGACTCCACTGGCCTGGAAATTTCTTCATTGACAATGAAAGTCATAGATTATTGCCAGCTGCTCTTAGAGACCATCAAATTTGATAGGTAAAAAAAACAAAACAAAACCTAAGACCCTGAAAGGGTGAAGGAACCTGCCAAGGTTATCACAGCAAGTCTGTGGGGAATTCGATCATTTTTTAAAAAAATGTATTTAAAAGTTTTTAAGTGTATGAATGTTCTGCCTGCAGGTATGTTAATGTGCATTATTTCTGTGCCTAGCGCCCTTGAAGGTCAGAAGAGGGCATCAGATCTCTCTAGAACTGGAGTTACAGTGTGAGCTGCCAAGTGGGCCCTGGGAATCAAGCTTGGGTCTTTTATAAGAAGAGGTGTGCTGGGCAGTGGTGGTGCACACCTTTAATCCCAGCATTGGGGAGACAGAGGCAGGCAGATTTCTGAGTTCGAGGCCAGCCTGGTCTACAGAGTGAGTTCCAGGATAGCCAGGGCTACACAGAGAAACCCTGTCTCAAAACAAACAAACAAACAAACAAAAAAAAACCCAAAAAACCAAAAAAAACCAAAAAAAAAAACAAAAAAAACAAGTGCTCTTAACCACTGAGCCATCTCTCCAGCTCCATGGAGCCTGTTTGTTTGTTTGTTTGTTTGTTTTGCTTTTTTAATCTCAGATCTCCTGAGCCTTTAGTAGATGTAGCAGACACAGAATGTAATACAAGAGGCTCTTTAATTGGAATATGTGTATGTGTGTGTGTGCACAGTATGTGTAGGAGGGGTGCCTACATACATTTGTGCACATGTATGCCAAGGTCAAGTGGCTTGTTCCATCACCCTCTGCCACTCTGTCACCCTCTGCCTTATTCCCCTGAGACAGGCTTTCTCAAAGAACCTGGAGATGCTTTTCAGCCAGGTTGGTAGCCAGCTGGTCCCAAAGACTCTCCTGCCTCCACCCCATCTACCTCCAGCGCCAGGGTTGCAGGTACATATGGGCATGCCTGGCTTTTACATGGGTGCTGGGGATCTGTAGAAATTGTTCTTAGATGCTGAGACATCTTCCTAGCCTGGGATAAGAGTATTTGAAAACAAAAACTTATCTTTTATCAGTTATGCTTTATTGACTGTCTATATATGACTCAAAGAAACTCAGTGAGGTCAGTACTATTGTAAGCTTTCCACTCGATAGGTAGGTGAGTGGAGCTCAGCTGGCCCTGTGCATAAGGTCACAAGGAGAATAAATGGTCTCCTTGACTCTAGCACCAGTGCTTTGAGTTTCTTAACTCTTTCCTCTTGGTTTTAAAACCATCTTCTCTTCCTTAGGATTCCACAAAAGCAGAGCCAGCCATTTAATGATACGGTGCCTTACATCATACAGAAGTATCTTTCACGTCTGGCAGGGCCTTTGCACTCTCCCCACATCCCTCTGGGGCAATTGGGATCAAAAGCACCCAAGAGCTGAAGTCATAGCCCAAGGTTGTACAGCAAGACACAGAACCCAGGATCTTCTGTTTGGAATCATCCAGACACTTGGCAATTGGAAGGATGCCCAGGTAGGTGCACAAAAGGATTAATAGGAGACCTGCTTTAAAGTCCTAATATTAAGGATTGATACAAGACCTCTAGGGTCAGATAGCCTATGTTCAAATCCCAGTTGGCTAGCTTCCTCACTGTATGACCTTAGGTGAGTTCATTTACCTCTGTGGCCTCAGTCGCCAAATAGGGGTGATAAAAACCAACCTAATGAGGAGGATGGATGGGTCAGCTGGGGTCCAGATGCTAGTCCAGGGACGGTGGCTCAGGGATAGAGCACTGGCCTAGGGTCCTACCTCCAGTACTAGGAGGTAGGAATGGGGTGAAGGGCAGCCCTGGACCAACAGCTTTCTCTCCCACCTACCAGCCCTGGAATGGAGAGTTCGGAGTACCTGTAACAGAGGCTGGGGTGATTCGTGGATAGAGATGATATGTGTGATCTTATTCCGGCCCAGCTGATCCGGGTCTTTGGCATCTGAAAGAAACAGGCCGCTTGAGCCAAGTTGGCAGGTGTGACTTATTTATTCCTAATGACTAACTGCAGCAGAAGCCAGTGCCCAGCTTGCATTCTCGCCCCTCCCCTGCCTGCTTGGCCCACCCTCTGCAGGCTTGTGTGTGCCCTCCCTCACCTCTGGGGCGCCCATCAGACTTAGGCTGGTATGCTCCAGGCTTGTGCTGTCCTTCACATCCCAGACACCCATCCCTACTTCATCCTCCAACCCAGCAGTGGTACTTCTAGGAATCTGTGGACAGCGTGATTGCACATGGAGCTGGCGTTCTCTGCAGCACCGTTTGATGCAGAAGCGGCTAAATGTTTGGAATAACCTAATGCCCATCAAAAGGGGGCTGGGTGGAAATAGGTACAGCTGGACTTCGGACTCCCGTGCAACAGTGAAAACTATGAGCTGATAGATAGCTGATGTGTGTTCTAAGTGGGACACATCACTTCCTGAGCAGCGTGCAGAGTGGGGTTCCACTCGTTTTAACTATCACATCCGTATCTACACTATGTGACACATAACCCCGGAGAACACCCTTTCAGGATGCCAGCGGTCATCTCTGGGGAGTGAGATGTACCAGCATGTGCCTACTATGTGCAGGCTTCGGCTGGGCTCTGAGTCTGGGGTCAACTTCATGACTCTTGTCCTTATGGAAATAACACACAACTTAGCCAAATCTTCTCAGAAATCAATGTGGCAGGAGCTGCTGAGGAGGCTCCTAGGGAGGAAGGAGCCAGGGCCATAGGGCGGGTCACCTGAGTCTTCTCTGTGACTTTTCTACCTTGGGTCCCTAGGCCTTGAGCCAGCCTGTCTCAGCACATTTTCCACCACAAAGTCAAAAGTCTATGTTGGGTTCTGGCTCCCCACCGCCAGCATGAAGCCCGGGCAGGCGGGATGTGAGGGTGCTCGCTCTCCCCCATGGAAGACTGTGGAAGGAAGAGATGAGAAAAAAGAGAAGGCAGAAAGCTGCAGGCTTGCCACCCCCTGCTTTGAGGCCGCCTGGTGCTTCCACTCAGGATTCTGCTTATAGGAACTGATGGTCCAGCTCCTCTCCAGAGAATTCACAGCTTCCCACTAAGGGAAGTCATACCTCTAGGCAGACCTCAACAAAAACCTAATGGAAGAAATCTTCTGGGCTGCTGGGCTTTGTGCTGAGGAGGTGGGCGAAGCTCAGAACCAAGGCCCTCCTTTGTGTGGGCCTTTAACCTGTTGGTGAACCTTGGGAGGGAGGCTGAATTGGAAGTGCTCTCTCCAGTCTGGGGACGGTGGCCAACCCTTGCACCCCTAATCCTTCATGAAGAATCCTTTCTCCTCCCAGCCTGGCACCCTCCCTCCCCCACACTCCATTCTTGAAAGCATCTAAGTTGTGTGGGCTGGAGCATGAATAGTGGACACAGGCCTGGGACATATGCCATGGCCTTGGGACAGAGTGGGCAGTGCTCACCAATGAAGTTTCCAAGGTAGAGTCCAGGAAGTACCTGGAGGAAGGACAGCAGGGGTCAGGGGGCAGCCTGCACCCCTTCCCACCCATGGTAGCTGCCCCCCACCCCCGCAGCTCTTCTCTTTTGGTGCTTGGACCTCAGGAACCCATCTCCCTGATAGGTCTGGGTGCGGCGTGAGGGGTCTGGGGCTCTGGGAAAGATGCAAGAACAGGAAGGGCCAGGGAGGTCAGCCTGGGGACAGGTAGAAAGAAGACTAGGGATGAGTAGGAAGTCCCAGGTAGAGATCAGGGAGGAGCACTGAGTGAGACCCGGACAGAGTGGACCGAGGCAGGCACAGGTGGAAGGCCATAAGAGCAGAGCTGGAGGGATAGAGAGAGGGTTCAGAGTCCAGGAATCACACAGACACAGGAGTCAGACAGACAGCACACACACACACACACACACACACACACACACCACACACACACCACACACATGCCACATGCCACATGCCACACACACACACACACCCCACACCACACACACGAACGAGAGAGAGAAAGAGAGAGAGAGAGAGAGAGAGAGAGAGAGAGAGAGAGAGAGAGAGAGAAAGAGAGAGACAAGCGAAAGGCACAGCAAGAGTCAGAGTCCGCACAGAGGACAGAGACAGAAAGGCAAGGAAATGCAGTCTGGAGGGCAGAGTGACAGCGATGTGGTAGACATCTCGGGTGTGGGAGCAGAAAGAAGGTCAGAGACCTGTGCGGGGGGGGGGGGCGTCCGGCACTGCGGGGGTTCCCCCTACCTTGGTCATGCCATTCCCCATGATCCTGAGGTAGAGTGGCGAGGCGCACCCCCAGCTCGGCGCCTGGAAAGCGCTAGGTTCACAGCTGCCGGACTGGCCCAGGCCCGGAGCCTGTAGCCTGATGGGGAACCAGGGGCCTGGCGTCTGCGACCCTGCTCAGCTCTGTCCAGCCGCCGCCGCCACCGCCCGCCGACCCCCGGCCCCGGAGGGAAGTGATGGAGGGAGCCGCTGCCGCCGCCACCGCCGCCGCCGCCGCCGCAGGCTCCTCCTACCCCTTCGGTCATGTGGGGCCCCCTCCCCCGTGGGCCTTGGCGGGGGGCCGGACAAAGCCCCAGTGTGCGGGGCCCACGGCCCGCGGGACAACGGCAGCTTGTTGCGGCTGCGTGGGACGCCACCTCCGGAGGTGGGGGCGGGGCGCTCCCCCCACCCTGGCACCGTCAGGCGCCGAGTTTAGGGCGGGTGGGTCTCCCCCAGCGGGGTGCAGACACCCAGCTTGAGGCTGTGCTCGCACCTGTCTGAGGCTGGGGGCAAAGCATCTAGCTTCTCCAGCCTGGGTCACTTTAGTGCCAAAGGCTTCTGTTTGCAACAAGAAAACAGAAAAATTTCCTCCCCAGCCCATGCAACCACCCTAGTAGCCTTCCCCCTCCTTTCTAGCTCATCCCACTATTAGTGTCTACTCATCCGTTCTATCCACTTACCCATCCGTTCACCTTCCATCCATCCATCATCCATCTTTCCTTCAATCCATTTACGTGTCAGTCCACTCATTCACCCATCTCTCACCTCTCCCTCCCATCCATTCATCCATCACTCTACGTTCTCTCAGCCGTCCTCCCTCCTAGCCATCCTCCCCTGTACTCTGGTTCTCAGGGAGTATGTAACCACGTGGGTAATTCTACTTGGACCAGGTATAACTGTCATTAGAAGCCTGAAGAAACAGGGGTAAATGTGGGGGAAAGGGTGGTGTAGAAAGGTTCCAGACACCTGGATCCTGGCTCAGAAAACTGCAATAAGATGTCCCTAGTTCAAGCCCATGGCACACTTGACTTGTTGGACGATCCGAGGTCTCCACGTGGCTTCAGCTGACACTGTCTGCATTAAGCATGTAAAATAAAGGAGCCCAGTCACCTGCTGTGGGTACTGAATGGAAACAGCTGGGTCTGCTTTGTTCTTGTGGACATCGTCCCTGTCCTTCTATCCAAGAGATCGCAGGGGAGTGTCCACTCAAGCAGGACAGAGAGTCCGTTTCAGCTGTAACTGGAGAAAAAGAAAGCCATTCTTCACAAGTCTCCCTTCCTTGAGTTCACAGTGTCTATGGGGTGCTGGGCTCAACACTCTGTTTTCATAAAACCCAAATTATTCAGCAAATATTTAGTGAGCAGTAGGTCCTAGGGACACAGTCCCGGGGTAAGATAGAGGCGATTCTTACCTCCCTTAGCTAGCAGGCTGGAACTCAGCTTTCTCAGTGGGGGGCATTGGCCCAAACTGACTGTGTGATGGTTGTGAAAACTTTGTGTAAAAGGTTTCTAAACATGCAATGCCTAATTTCAAAACTAAACACGCAGAGAGTCTGGAGTGTTTCTTGGCTTTAAATCTCCAGCACACACACTCTGCCCTGAGCATGCTGGCAGGTACACACCACACATGGACTCTACCTGACGCCTTAGCCCAGATTTGAGACTCTGGTGTTATGAACTGCAGTGTTTTACTGTACAAATTACTTCTAATTATGGGGGTGTGGGAAAGATTCAATGTTCTCATGCCCTCATTCCTCACTAAAATATCTTCCAATTTTGTTATATTGAAACGTTTGGTATTTTGTTGCTGTTTTAAATGCTGTTGAGTTGCTGAGTTCATACGTGAATTTGGGGTAGGGATTCGGACAGAATTTTCAACACCTTCTGACATTTGTGCTGTATGTCTATGAAAAGTGGTATTCCCCGAACTGATGATTATAAAATTAAAATATCAGCCCTGAAAAACACCCTGCGGTATCAAATATTCAGCCAAGATTTAGTTCCTTATGCAGAAATTAAGTGAGTACATCATCTTATTAGGATGCAAACTTGCTAGAGCCTTTATAGGTGTGAGAAAATTACATGTAGATGAAAAGTTATTTTAAAATAAATTCTCTTATGATTTATTATCAGTAAATGTTTGATTTGCATATCTATTTTATACACGTATATATCCAGGGGTTATTTTGAAAATAAGTGAAAAGTGGCTGGATACAGCTCAGCTGGCAGTGTTTGCCTGACATGCATGAACCCCGGGGTTTGAACCCCAGCAGTCCTGTAACTTCTTGTCATCTCTAGCACTCGGGAGGCAGAGGTGGGAGGATCAGAAGGGCAAGCTCAAGGCCATTCTGGGCTACAAGAAACCCTGTCTCAGAAACAAAGAAACCAAAACCAAAAAAGGATGGAGGTTACAAACATTTAAGAGGCCCTGCCTTAGTCCCTCCCACGAGGTACAGAATACATGCATGCTTAAATGAAATCTTTCTAGTATTCCCATGAAAACAAGAGATGCAAATTAATTGTTGACCATATTTTGATTTAATTCAGTTTATTCAGATACTATCATTTTAGCATTTGGTCAGTGTTTAGAGATTATTAATGATGAGTTTTATGATCTTTCCATGACACTGTCTGACTTCTACTTCTGACTTACCTCAACTCAGATCATCTATACAGCAGATGCTGGAAGCGTTCAGGGGCCAGTATCAGCATATCACACGTCCTAGATCTGGGCGAGAAGGCCAAGGAAAACAAGGAACAAATAATCCATTTACCAAAGGTCGCAGGTGGCCACAAAGAAAACAAAGCAGGGTGGTCGAGAAAACCTCTCTCTGTGTGGCGACAGTTGAGCTGAGAGCTGGGGTAGCCATTGCAAGAGTAGAGGAGGACAGAAGCCAGCAATGCAGAGGCCTGCACTGTGAGAGTGTGGCCTGTGGACAGAGCAGATACAGCTGCAGCACAGGGAACTGAGGCAGAGGCATGAGAAAGGCTGAAGAGTGCAAAGGACCCTCCATGGCACAAGCGGGCTTAACATAGCTCTCTCCTCCATGGAATAGAAAGCCAAAGGGAGACTTTAACCAAGGGCCTGACATCTGGTTTAAGGATTTAAGTCCCGCACTGTGTTCCCCTGTTGAAGTCATCAAGGAGGCTACTGCACCTGGTTGGATGGGAGACAGCTTGGGATGGAGCAGACACCGAAGGGGAGGCACTCACTGTGTGTGAATATCTAAGAGTGTGGCTGGCAGGCTATGCAAACAGAGCTGGGTAAGCAAGGAAGGGACTCCTAGGTTCCCTGACTTGAAAAATCATTATCTCTGCCACAGGAAGAAAAACATCAATAATTCAACATGTGGTTATTGGATGTCAAGTTATAGGTGGAAAGTTACACCAAAGATATGCTGATGTTGACTTGAATCTCCAGAAGGCCTGGTCCCTGAAGGCAAAAAGAAATACTCCTCTCTTCAGGCTCCGTATCCCCTGCTGCTAGGAGTCTCAGCTAGGGTCACCTCCAAAGACTCCCTGGAGTCTCCCCCATCTTAGAGCTTCCTGCCACCGAGCTCTCTTCTCTTTCTCAGCCCTCCCACCCAGTTTCCTCCCTCCATCTACTTCAGATGTCTACTTTATTTCCCCTCTGAGAGAGATTCAAGCATCCTCCCTTAGAGCCTCCTTGTTGCTTAGCTTCTTTGGTTTGTGGATTGTAGCATGGTTACGCTGTACTTTATGGCTAGTATCCACTTATAAGTGAGCACATACCATGAGTGTCTTTCTGAGTCTGGGTTCCCTCATTCAGAATGATTTTTTTCTAGTTCCAGCCGTTTGCCTGCAAATTTCATGATGTCCCTGTTTTTTAAATAGCTGAGTAGTATTCCACTGTGTAAATGTACCATATTTTCTTTATCCATTCTCGAGGGACATGTAGGTTGTTTCCAGTTTCTGGCTGTTTTGAATAAAGCTGCTATGAGCATAGTCGAGCAAATGTTCTTATGGTATCACGACACATTTTTTGGGTATATGCCCAGGAGTGGTATAGCTGGGTCTTGAGATAGATCTATTCCCAGTTTTCTGAGAAACTGACAAGTTGCTTTCCAAAGTGGCTGCACAGGTTTGCATAGCCACCAGTGATGGAGAACTGTTCCCTTGCCCCGTGTCCACCTCCTGCAGCCAGGTGGGTCTTCCAGTGAAGGGAGGGGACAGTAATCTACCCACAAAACTTTCTACCCAAGATTTGTCCTGCCTTGAAGAAGTGCAAGGATAAAGATGGAGCGGAGACTGAGGGAAAGGCCAACAGATGCCTGGACAAAACTGAGACCCATCCCATGAGAGGGGGCCAACCCCCGACACTATTAATGACACTCTGCCCTGCTTACAGACAGTTATGCTAGCATAATTGTCTTCCGAGAGGCTTCATCTACCAGCTGATGGAAACAAATGCAGAGACCCACAGCCAAACAAGGCAGAGCTCAGGGAGTCTTTTGGAAAAGTGTAGGGAAGGAATGAGGAACCCTGAGTGTCAAAGGCACTACAAGAAGACCTACAGAGTAAACTAACCTGGCTCATGGGGGCCTCACAGAGCCTGAGCCACCAGACAAAGAGCATGCATGGGCTGGACCTAGCTCCCTTACACGTATGTAGCAGGTATGAAATTTGTTCCTCATATGGTTCCCCTAACAATAGGAGCAGGGGCTGTCTCTGACTCTGTTATGGGCCTCTGGACCCCTTTCCCTTAGTGGGGATCCCTTGTTGGGCCTCAGTGGGACAGGATGCACTTAGTCCTGCTGTGACTTGATGTACCAGGATAGATGGGTACCCATGTGGGGAAGGGACTTAGGAGGAGAACAGGGAGGAGAGGAGGGAGGAGGCGCTTCAATCCTGCTGTAAAGTGAATAAATGAATAAATGGGGGGAAAGAGAAAAGAGATGCTAGCAAACGGAGTGTGAGCGTGTGCACCTTTAACCACAGCATTCAGAAGACAGACGAAGGAGGATCAGGAGTTCAAGTTCAGTCTTGGCTATCTTGAGAACCTGAGCCAG